AACGGGGTTATAACTTAGCCCTGCCTTTTCTCTGCTCGCAGAACTCTCATTGACCTCAACAGGAGGTTGCAAGAAACTCAGAATGAAATTATAATTAAAAGGCTAACAAGAATTACGCAACCTGGCATCCACTGACAAAAATTGTAACAGTATAAAGGTATTTCAGGGCTGCTTCTGCACACGAGAAATGTGTGTGTGTTGAAACTAATCATGACTTTGAACTGTGGCTTTAAAGATATGGAGAGAACGCTTTTTTTTTTTTTTTTTTTGGTGCAAATTCTCAAACAAACAGAGTATTTCATAAGGGCTTAACTGGATTACAGGGTGACTGATAAAGTCCCAGCCAGCATTCTCTCCAGTATAATTATTATCTTCTCTAAGCTACCACCCAGATTGCCCTTGTGAGACATAATGATGAAACAAGCTGGACATTTGTCTAAAATTCTTCCCTTTACAATGTGATGCCGGTCTGCTGAGATGTTGTTGGTCTCTTCATCAGATCAATTATATATGTGAGGTGAAACTGAAAGGGCCAAAATACCAAACTCCTTATTGAGGGCTGGAGTGTGCTTATAAGGATCAGCTCTGCATTGGGGGCTATAGAGAACTACCCCCCTACAGAAATCACAAGGAGGAATTCCATCTTGGAGAAGCAACGGTCCCTCCAAGGAAATCCAGCATCCTGGATGAGTACTTCTGCTGCTGTATTCAATCAGGGAAGTCCATGTACTCCCTCCTGTGTGCCTGGCCTACTTCCCCAGCCCATGGATAGGGCCATGGCCTCTACTCCTATGTGATATCTTTTTACCCAGGATACATAAAAGGGAGAAATCCAGGGATTAGAATAAGTCAGGGATGGATGGGCAGAAGTTTAGTTCCTCCCTCACTCTGCCTCATGCATCCTTGCAGACCTGTGAAGCAAAAAGTCAATCTGCCCCTCATTTTCTATTCAGCTGTACTGAGCAAACTCCCACTGATTTCATTGAGTGCTGTGGTTCTTCAGCATGTATGTAAATCAAGATAGTTATTCAGGAGCCTAACTTCAGGCACCTTAGGTTGAAAATGTTTGCCTACATGCATTATGGGAATTTACTTTCTTCTGTAGAATCATGTATTAGCCACTGGTGGGCTAATGGTGTAACAGTGTACGGATATTATCTCTCTGAATGGGCAGGAGGGAAATATGATGGGGGGAAAGAAATGGGATAAAGCACAAGAAATATCTTTTAAAAGGAAATGAATGTGACCAAAGACAACTTAGCGGAAACCAATAAAAAAAGAGATTTAAGAAAAAAATCCGAACGCAGGCAGTGAAGGCAAAATGGAATAAAAGCCAAGTACTGCAAAAAGAAATGAAAAGGAAGGCAAAGAGAGACGAAAAGAAAGGGAAGCCGGGGTCAACAGAAAGTTTTGCTTTCCTTGGTGCTGTTCCTCAGGAATTATGAATAGTAACTATTAAACAAATTTGCAGTAACAAAACCAAGATTCCCTCTAACCCAAGGGAGTCCAAGTCTTATAACCGCAGATTAGTTTAGAAGATAAATCCTGTTTATGAAGGTGACATTTGATTTTGCCCTTTGATGCACAAACAATCTGTTTCTGTTCTTAAGAAAACGATCCTCTCATAATGCAAGCAAAACTCCCAAATATCCTATTTAGCAGAGGCATGCTCTTCGCCTTCCCCTTTTCAGCTTAGCAGATTGAAGCTTTGGAGTCCTGTTTGGCAGTCCTCACTCAGGTAAAACACCCCATGAATTCAACTGCAGCTTGGGAGTTGTGACTGAGTTATCACAATAGGCCCGGACAGTTCTGTTAGCTATTC